AAAAAATAGCACATTGAAAAAGTTTTTTGAGGTCCCTCTGTATATTGACTGGGCAAAGATTAAGATATTTTGTACATTGGAACATCAATTTTGACTTGGACTTTGGAATTTAGGGCACATCCCATTCAGTACAAGACTTGACATGAATCTTAATGAGGAGGAAAGTGCTTAACAATTCCAAATTAATTGTTAGTAACAATTTGTAACATTACTTGGAATTATATGGAATGTTGTAGACATTCTGAAATTGCACTTGTCTCGAGATATGACGAGGCACAAACACTGTCTTGCCAATATTAGTTATTGGTATTCTTGAATTATTTTCCATCACCATTACTCGATCGCCTTTATATTTGTAATTTGCTTATGTTCATCAAATTTTTCTCGTCACTGGTCATGTGATTGGAACATCCTGAATCAACTACCTATCATTTTAATAATCACCAAGCTTTCGTTATTTGATCAGGCGCCCCTCCCTGTATATTTAGCGGTACTGCTCCACTACTTGCCGTACAGTTAGTGAAACAGGGCAGAAAATGCTGAAAGATGTGATAAGTTTTTTTTTTTTTTTGAATGGTGAGGGTCGGGTATGGAGTGAGGTAAGGAAAAAAATATAATTGGAGGAAAATAAGTTTATTTGAAAAGCATTTTCCAAAATATTTAAATCAATCATGAGAAAATTAAAAAACATTTTCTAGAATGAGAGATAAAATGAGAAAAGTAAAAGAGAAAGTAAAGATATTTAAAAAAAAAGAAAAAAGAAAAGTCAAAGATGATTTTATTTTTGGAGGAAAATTTAGATGGTTTTATAGCGAGTCCGGAACCTAAATAAGCCAAAAAAAATAAAAGTGACCAAAATAAGTCATTATTCTAGTAAGTAACTAAAATAGGCTTAGTGGAAGAAATTTTTTTGTTTTATGCAATATTCCAAACGTTTTCTGTTAGTCTCATAACGTGTATATTTTAATATATAACAGAGCTGTTTCTTACACTTTGTAAAGTGTATTTTTTTCTTACACTTTGTAAAGTGGAAGTTTTTCGTACACTTAAGTTGAGATTGATAGCTCAGCTTTATTCTTAGATTTTGTATTTTTGCATTACTTAAGCATCCTCATTTGTAGTATCAGCATAGAGTGTATCATAAACTCTATGACGATCACAGAATATCTAGTTTTCTCTAGCTCTTATTTTCTTCATGCTTGTTAATTAGTAGAGGTTCGTTACCTCATTAAGATTAGTAAGGTAAGGCCTAGCCTCCCTTTCTTGTACTTTTCTCTTTATTAATAAAACTAGACCTAGGCACACATTGCCTAGCGGAATTGTTTTTTTAAAAAAAAACGTTTTTCTTACACTTTATAAAGTGGAAGAAAGAATTTTGTTTTACAAAGAGGAATATTTTTCACGTTTTGTATTAAATTGTATCTCTTTATGAAGCTTTTGAGTGTTTGTGATACAATTATATTGATTTGACATATCATTAAAACGGAAAAAATTATTACATTATGCATTTTTATTTTTTATTCTGAAAGTTCTTCCAAGCTCTATTTAAGGAAAAAACTATTACATTATGTATCATAAGTGTTAACTTGATTTGATCTATGTAGTCATTTGGAAGTTGGAACCCTCAAAAAATCGGTCAACGATTCGTTACTATAGATAATCCACTCTCCAAAATTTACTTGTACTTGTGACAAAAATGAAGTAGAGTATTTTTCGACTATAATCAAATTATAATCAGTACTATTTATACCCATTTTTTTTATAAATTGATGAAAGAAATTTATGATATCGGACATTAATTAAATATTTAACATTATGTTTGGGAAGACAATTATAATAAACGGTATTTTCGTCATGTATAATTTCGCCATCCCAATAAATCGAAACTGTTACTTTTGACTTAGAAGACATTTTTTTTGTGAATGAAATGAAGAAAAATAGAAGACTAAAGATGTTGAAAGTGCTATGTTTGAACGTCCTTAAATAGAGCTTGAGGAGTTCTCAGAATAAAAATATAAGTATACATAATGTAATATTCCTCTTTGTAAAACAAAAATTTTTCTTCCACTTTATGAAGTGTGAGAAAAACTTCCACTTTACAAAGTGTAAGAAAAACTTCCGTTATATATTAAAATATACACGTTATGAGACTAACGGAAAACGTTTGAAATATTACATAAAACAGAATTTTTTCTTGCACTAAGCCTGTTTTATTTACTTACTAGAATAGTGGCTTATTTTGATCACTTTTATTTTTTTGTGGCTTATTTAGGTTCCGGACTCTTTTATAGCCAATAGGATATTGTGGTCTTTTATCCTCTGTCGTGCCACAAAAAAGCATCGTGCCATTTAGTTTTACCGTATTTTGTACGGTTGAACAATAACTAATAGCCAGTCCCATTCAGAAGAAGACTTGACTTGAACCTGATTGAGGAGGAAAGTTTTTTTCCCGATAAAAAGGTGACATGACTTGCTATTCAATTGTTAGCAACAATTTGTAACATTGCTGTTAAAATTATAAAATGAAAGACATTGACATGTAAACGTTACATGATTATCTGCTTACGGATTGTTGCACATGCGAACATTTGAGCGAATGAAAGGAGTGTTACAGGAACAGACGTTAGGAAAGTAATAACACTGGGAAACAACTGAATTTAGTATTTTTAACATGAAAAATAGATTAGTATGTAAAACAAATTGGTAACTTTTAAAACAATAATACATACATTTTGAACTTGTAATTTTTAAAATATAATGATCGTTAAGTGGTAAAATCTTAATAGCTTAACCAGTCAAATTAAAATGTGGATCCAGTTTACAAAGTTGCTGGAAAGGGTGTTACAAGTCAACAAAAGTTTGCTTTATTTACTTACAGATATAAGTGTCAACAACACACCTAAACTGTACTTTTTTTTTAGTTTTATATCTAAATTATTGAGAGTGTAACTATCACTTATTAGTTTGAAAAATACACATCTCTCTTTTATAACACTCTCATCATGTGTGTGTGATACACTCTCTATTTTACTTAAAAAAATTGTCACATCATACTTCACATGGACAAAACATCTCATCTTGGCAAAAATTAAATAAATTAAGTATTAGTTAAAATTAAAGATTAAAAAATTATTTTCCCAAAAAATTAATTTGTTTATAAAATAAAATGTAAATTTTTTTTTTACCCCACTCCATCAATTCCTCTCACCGTACCCTCCCCCTCCCCCCTCATTTTTTAAGTTTAAATTTCTTTTATAAAAGTATATAAACTTTTTTTACTTCATCTCCCCCCTCCCCCTCTACAAATACTAATTTAGCTATCATTTTATTTTTTAAAAATAAAAATTCTACCCACTCCACCTAACCGTCCGCTTCCAATTTTTTTCTCGTTTTGTGTTAGATATATATATATCAAAAATATGTTTTACTTGCTGCGGCAAGACTACTTTTAAAATAAATTTTTTATTTATGTTATATTCGGTATGAAAAAATTCCTAAAAATATATGTACATATCAAACACATAACGAGAAAAATGTAAAAATAAATAAATAAATTAGTAAATAGGATGGAGTAGAATTTTTATTTTTTAAAAATAAAATAATATCAATTTTTTTTGGGGGGAGGGGTGGGGGGATGGCTGTGGTTTTCTTTTTTTGGGAGGGTGAAGTATGAATTTTTATAAATATATTATAAAAGATTATTTAAAAAATAATAATAAGATTATGGGGTGGAGGGGGGTGGAGGAGGGTGTACGGGGAGGAGGTAGTGAAGTGGAGTAAGAAAAATAATTTAAATTTTATTTTAAAAAAAACATTTTTTTGGGGGATAGTAATACTTAAATCTTTAATTTTTTATTAATATTAATAGTTTATTATTTAATTTTTGTCAAGGTGGAATATTTTATCCATGAGGAATGTCACGTGTCAAGGTTTTTTTAAAATAAAATAGAGAGTGCATTCTCAAAGTAATAAGTGATAGTTTAGATATGAAACTAATTTTTTTTTAACTTAAGTGTGTTTTTGACACTTATCTATTACTTATAGAAGTGGCAAAATAGGTATTTAATACGAGTATCCACTCATATTTACCCATTTTAAATGGGTTGGGTATCCAACTCATTTAAAATAGGAAAAATTATAGAAATCCCGCCTTTTAGTTTACTTATAACCATTATCCCCATAATTTTTACAAATCTCCAAAATCCCTCATTTTCGCGCATCAGATTAGTGTATCTCGCGCATCAGATTAGTGTATCATGTATAAAATGTAATGTATCTTACTTAACGATTAATGTATCTCGCGCATCAGATTAATGTATCAACGCTTATATTATTGTATTCGTTTGAGGGGTTTCTGTAATTATAAACTTTTAAGGGATAGATTGTAATTTTGCCTTAAAAGTATGTGATTTATGTAATTTGCTCTTTAAAAATGGGTAAAAACGAGTAATACTCAAATACCCATTTAAAAGTGGGTAGTTAAATGGGTAATATGGGTAAAAAATGTTCATTCATAAAAAAAAAAAAGAAAAGTAATTAGAGGTGGGTGGTAAAAAAAGCTTTTTATTTTTTTTTAGATAG